CTCAAAAATGCACCAGCAGCATTCCAGCAAACCATTTGTTCTGCTCTTCAAGCTATGAATTGGAAACACATTTTAATATATGTGGATGATATGATAATCTACAGCAGAACATTTGAAGAACACTTACATCATCTGAAATGCGTTTTTGGCAAACTTAAAGAAGCTGGTCTTACCTTAAAACCAAGCAAATGTAGATTTGCAGCTAAGAGAGTAACGTATTTAGGCCACGTCTTCAGCAAAGATGGAGTAGAAGTTGACAAATCAAAAGTAGAAGTTGTTAAAAGCATCCCTTCTCCCAAAAATGTCCATGACATCAGACATTTCTTGGGTCTTGCAAGTTACTACCGCAAATTTGTCCCAAATTTTTCCCGCATAGCATCACCATTGTATAACTTGCTTCAAAAGGATGCCACCTTTAATTGGTCAGACAAGTGTGAGCAGGCACTTAACAAATTGAAAGGATGCCTAACTTCAGCCCCTGTCTTAACATATCCTGATCCCAATAAACCATTCATTCTAACAACGGATGCCTCCACCTCAGCCATAGGGTATATCTTAGGTCAACGAGATGCTTCTGGCCAAGAACACGTCATCTGCTATGGTGGCCGTGCCCTTCATGCTGCTGAGAAGAAATGGGGCATCACTCAACTAGAATGTTTGGCTGTATTAGAAGGCATTAGAACTTTCAGGGTGTATCTCACATCTCAGAAGTTTAAAGTCTTCACAGATCATCATGCTCTGAAATGGCTTAAGGACATCAAACAGGAAACAGGTCGTCTTGCTAGATGGTCTCTCATGCTGCAGGAATATGATTATGAGATCGAACATAGAGCAGGTAAAGCCAATACAAATGCTGATGCTCTCTCTCGCATTCCATATCCTGCACAGATCATAGAACCTGTCACTGATGATTTTCCTGTCCCACCAGTCCCATCTATCAACTACACCTCAGCCACCATCCAGTCAAATCATCATCCAATCCAGCATTCATATGCTGAAGTGGTTTCAACACCACCCACAAATCCATCATCAACAACCAATCACCAGATTGCTAGTCAGCTCACTGCAGCAGATAATGACTATGGGATATCTCCTGAATGTTCAACTTCAGAAAACCTTCATTTATCTGGTCAGAAGGCTATAGCACCTTCTTCAGCATCATCAATAGATCTGTATGTTGAATTCTGTTATCAAGATGAGATTCCATCAGGACCAACAGTTCAAACTATTGGAACTGATATTCCGGAAAAAAATCTTGCAGAGAGACAGAGAAGTTCACCAGATTTCAAGCCTATCATTGACTTTCTAGAGAATGGTGAGATTCCCTCTCATTACACTGATTCTCAAGTCAAAGGTCTCCAAGGTCTCTCACAGGAGTATGATCTATGTGAAGGCATCTTGTATCATTTCTACCTGCAAAAGCATAGAGGACACAAGAACGGGCGTCACCCAATGGTTACACAACTGGCAGTTCCTATTTCTGACAGGAAATCCCTGCTTTATGCTTACCATGATTCAAAAGCAGGTGGGTGCCACTTTGGCCGGGATGCTACCCGTCAGTCCATTTTGACCAAATACCATTGGCCAGGCTTGTACCAAGATGTTGAAACATACATCAAATCTTGTGAAGAATGTCAAAAAAGCAAACGTTGGGCCCATTCAAAACCAGCTCCAATGGTACCAATGCCTATTGAAGACAACTTTTCCAGGTTACATGTTGACATCCTTGGACCTCTTCCTCAAACAAAGGATGGGCATAAGTATGTTCTTGTAGCTGTGGATTCATTTTCAAGGTGGATTGAAGCATTTCCATTGCACACTCAAGGTGCTGTGGAAGTAGCAACAAAACTCTTTAATGAAGTCTTCACAAGGTACGGTGCACCTCGAACTCTAGTCACTGATAGAGGTCGCCAGTTCACATCAAAGCTGGTCAATGCTATCTGTGAAATCTTTGAGGTTAAGCACCACTTCACATCGTCATACCATCCTCAGACAAATGGAATGGTTGAACGGCGTAATAGTACAATTGCACAAGCCTTAAAATCTTACTGTAAGCCTGACCAATCCAACTGGGCTGATATTCTGCCATGTGTTCTCATGTCAATGCGAAACACACCGTGCCAATCAACTGGTTACTCACCACACCATATGCTCTTTGGCAGAGAGATGTGTCTTCCATTTGATACTACACTCACACCAAAGCCAACACTTGGTAAAAATGCAGAGACACATCTCCAGCAGCTCATCGACAATCTGAAGGTTGTCAAATCTATTGCTCGCGACAACATGTCTGTAAGTCAACAGATAGACAAGGAGCATCAAGAGCTAAAATCATCAGAACCTTCATTCATGTTAGGTCAACAGGTGCTTCTACACAGCCCTGTAGTCAAACAAGGACTTTCCCCAAAGCTGTCCCAATCATGGACAGGTCCTTATTATATCACAGACATTGGTCCAAACCACACCTTCAAAATTCACAGATGTTCAGATGACAAAGAACATAAATCTTTGGTCCATGCCAATCGCCTGAAACCCTATGTCCTCAGAGGTAATGTTGCACGGCATGTTGACGCATCAGGTTCTTCTGCACCTACATTGGTTTCAAGCAGAGCACAGGAACCATTACCAGATCCTCCTGCACAAACTTTGCAAGGAAGTCCTCCACTAGAATCACCAGTTTCTAGTGAAAAGCCAACTGCAAAAGCAGATGAAACTGTGCCATCAGAGCACAATCACAAGCAAACAAAAGATCACAATCAAGATCAATTCTATGATGTTGAAAAACTCTTGAAGTACAAAGACATCAATGGCATACGCCATTTTCTTGTCAAATGGGTTGCGCATCCTACACCAACATGGGAGCCACACCATAATATAGGACAAGGACTTATCAGAGACTTCCACGTGCATAAAACACAGGCTGGACGCAGTCGTAAGCACAAACGAGCACACAAATATTTTGTCTAATCTCTAATAATATAGTTATCCTTGACTTTGATAGTACCTGGCAGGTAGTTTCATTGTGATTAGTTAGATGTTGTCGACAAACCTGCAGGGCCTCCTGTGTTATTAAGTGCTAGAAGGATGATAGTTGCAAATGTCATCTCTTCAAACCCGTTGTCAACACTAATCAACCCACTTGATCTTCTCTCAGAGTTGTCAGATTCAGTTATCTATTATTATAGATTATGCTGTTATAATGGTGTATATGTCAAAATCGAGACAAACGTTATGTCCAAAAATGACACTATTTGTCCATCTTCCATCCAATAACTATTTAAAACTTTAAGCTTAATATAAAACAGTTAATGTTGTATGAACTGTTACCCATCCATGAACTAAACCGATACATATACATGTACATGACCTCTTTCATCAGGTAAAGTTTTCAAACTGCCGAATTCCTGCTGAGAACAATACTCTACGTATTCTATTAAGCCAGATGTTGCTAAACCTATTGTATTATGCTTCATTATGTTGTACCTTTTTGGGCTCTCATAACAGAACAATACCCTGTCATAACATGTTTTGTTTGGTAGACTGTTCAAATATTGTATTCCTTTTTCAATACCTGTATTATGTTTGTTACCATGACAAATGGATATTGTATCTTTCAGTAGCACTAGTTCCATATAACATATTTGTGCTTTTGCGGTCAAAAGCTTCCCACAGCGGAGGGATATTGTCATAGTCCTAAAATCACTATAATTAACCCATAATTATAGTGGTCATATTTCAATATTATGTTTTGTATTTCTCTCAATATTTTATCTTACAACTAGCTATACCTAAATATATTTCTGTAGATAATGTTAGTCAGCTGCCATGCACGTAACTGACCGTCACAAACCAGTGACTATGGATTATCTAACTCAGCCAGGTGGCCAGGCTCGGGTTATGCCCCAGGCTATAACATGCTGTGTATGGCCGGACGCGTCGTATCAGATAGGTGGAATACAAAGGATATTACGCGGTCAGTGTGCTCTGTAACTGTCGAATAAGTGTAATTAATACGCCACGCATGTAGCAGATTTATGTCATAGTTTCAATATTAGGTAACTAACGCATTCTATAGAAGGCCTGAGTCCCTATATATACGGAGTCCAGTGGCAGACACTTCACTCTGCCACGAATAAAGACTTCAAGGGACTCAGCAGCCTTCTCTCTGTTTTAAAGGTAAGATAACATTATTTTCTTGTTCAATTCTCCTTGCCTTTAACTTATATTATATCATGTGCAAGCAACTTTATATTTACCATGGTTTGTAATATTTAAGAATAAGTTATATGTCATTCGTTATACCGCAAAGCAACTTGAATGTTAAATTGTATGTGTGTGTTTATATGGATGTCAGTAGATTAGTTCACTTGTACATTAACTGTTGATATGCCAAGTGATAGATAAAACCGTACAATACATAGTATGAGAAAGAGTACATTGTGGTAAATACCCACGGGTAATCTCACGTAAATACCGTCTCATACGAATATTGGCCATGCTAAGTCTATCATTTGGTTAAGCATTTACGGCATTGAAATTATACAATATGTTAAATACACGAGTAACGCTAGAATGCCGTAAATGTAAATGTTAACAGTTCCTGTATGAAATGTTGTAGCTAGTATAACATGAAATACCTCCCAGTCGCTTATTATTCACAATTCGTTTTTGTACCTTATTTATTAGAACAGTCCTGTTAAGAAAGTTTAAACCAGTCGCTATCAATTCATGTATGGTTGTCAATTATATATTTAATGTAACAAGTCATTGAATGTATCTATCTTGTAATGTAATATTGTTTAAATATCTCTCTATATATTAAATTTCACTCTGCCACGAATAAAGACTTCAAGGGACTCAGCAGCCTTCTCTCTGTTTTAAAGGTGATAGCCGAGTAATCAGCTCTACCAAGTTAATTCCCCCACTATCTTGGCCATTGTGACGTAGCAAACGGGACCACGCCCATACAAGGCAAAACGGCCCGGAACACAAGCTACGTCATACTCATAGATTGTCATTTCATTGTTGTCCTCCATATTTTTTTACCACCTATCTCACCAGATCCAAACCCAGATCTGAACTGGCTGCAATGCGAACGCAAAAGAATAACCTTGGAACAAGGAATGAACAACAACGCTCACACAGGCAATAGTTCTGCTTGTAAAGGCAAAGACTTAAATATACAATTGCATGGAAAAACAGGTCCAAAAGCATTCATACATTGTTCAGAATTAACGTAACCCCATATATAAATAATTGTGCACAAACGTAATGGCAATTCACATTTAATGTGTTTAAGACGAGAGCCCGTTTTTATATTGTGTTTACTGATAATGCATTATTTTAAATGTTCTCAACTAGTTTTAAGTCGTGTTCCGTCCATCGATGGCAGGATTTTATTTAATCTAGATATATGTATTATTTGTCTAAAGGTGTGTATTATTAATGGATAACGTCTCGTCCGCTGAAATATTGCCGATGTGACGTTAAATATATACTCACTATATCAATAACTGTGCACAAACCAAATTGCAATTCAGATGTATGATGTTTAAGACGACTTTTCACAGATAGAGTAGATGTTATCTGTGCATGGGCGGTCTTTCCATCCTTCGCCAAATTTCCACATAAGGCAGTCCTGACCGGGCCTTCCGAATGGTTGTCCGGGTCGCCAGTACGTGAAGTTAAGGGGACTCCCATCCATCCATCTCCAGCTGCCTTCCTCCTGTATATCCGAGGCACCGATGTAGAACTTGGCGAGGAAGAAGTCTCCTGAAGTAAGGATTACAACCTCAGAGTTCATACCTACCTGAGACGCAATATGTGTTGGTTGGTTTGTTGTTTAACGCCGCACTCAGCAATATTCCAGCTTTATGACGGCGGTCTGTAAAAAATCGAGTCTGGACAGACAATCCAGTGGTTGATATCATGAGCAGCAGTGATTGACATCATAGGCATCGATCTTAGATTGGTTGGTTGGTTGGTTATTTTACGCCGCACTCAGCAATATTCCAGCTATATGACGGCGGTTTGTAAATAATCGAGTCTGGACCAGACAATCTAGTGATTGATATCATGAGCATCGATCCAAAAATTGGGATCGATGACATGCTTCACCAATTCTAACCCGGATCTTCACGGATCAATGTGTATGCAGTAAGTGATGTCACGGCTTGTTAATAAGTATGTATGGGTAAGAGAAACCAGTGGTTAATATTATGAGCAAATTCTCAAGTCGTCGGGGTATCATTACTACATTACTAGAAATCAATCAAGTCACCGCAGTGTTGGCAGCAGTTTACGCAGAATGCGTAGGTTACTTTCTGACTAGCCCATACAGGATACGTGCAATGCAAACAACTTAATGTCCCATATTTGCCCTTGCTGTTTCCATTTGGTCGAGACCGCCTCCGTGGCCTAGTGGTAGAGCGTCCGCCCGGAGAGCGGAAGGTTCGGGGTTCGGCATTAAGGGGCTAAAACAAGGACTGGTCGGCTCGGAGTCAGTATACTGTGTCTGAGTGGGGTATTCATGTTAAACTGTGGCATGGTATCTCAGTGAGCGAGCACTATAATTCGGCATCAGTCCGGACTAGTACAAGCAGCCACACACACACACACACACACACACACACACACGTGCATGCACGTCGCTATATAAGTGGAATAATCTTGGACGCGACGTTAAACCCAATTTCACCTCACCTCACCATTTTGTCAAATTCACTATTTACAAATTGCGCATAGGAATGTGTAAAAGCTGACTCAAAACATACCTGTAGCATTAATCAATGCTGTCAGGAAGTTGATCTTCTCAATGGAGTCCACAATTGCCAGATGTCCTCCAAATGAAGATATACAGTTCACCCTTGCCGTGTCCCACACGGACTCATTAAGAACAAGAATGTAGGGATGATCGCCATTAATAGACACCGGAGCTAAAATATGGAACAGACAGAGATACGTGTATTACAGAGAGAAAGACGCATCACTGTTTAGATCTTTGGTCCAGAATACAGAATGTTGTCATGTACGCATGTTACCTTTCCATAGCATTTTGACTACGGGGTTTGTTGGTTTGTTTGTTTCATGCCAAAGTCAGCAATAGGCAAGCTTTATGACGACGACCTGTTAATATTGGAGACTGGACCAGAGAAACCAGTGGTTGATATAATGAACAACGTCCCACGCCGTCTGGGTACGATGACATCTAAGTCAACAAGGTTAACGACACACTCCATTGATCCGCCTCTTACGACAAACGTGAAGATCCGGGTAAGAATAGGTCTTCAGCAATCCATGCTTGCCATAAAAGGCGACTATGCCTGCGTAAGGGTCGACTAACGGGATCGGATGGTCAGGCTCACTGACTTGGTTGATGTATGTTATCGATCCCAATTGCGTGGATCGATGCTCATGATATCAATCACTGGATTGTCTGGTCCAGACTCGATTATTTACAGACCGCCTTTATATAGCAACAAATAAACAAACAAACAAACAAACTAGGTGCCCTATTCCTGAATTCGAAAAGGGCTTAAGTTAAGGATCTGGTTTGATTTTAATAAGGAGCATTCACACGTTACAAGTATTTGGTACAACTTGTACGAAATAAGTTGCTCGAACCAATTTGTTTATTTTCACGTTTTCACGTTGTTCGGGAACGGCACTGGTCCAACCCCTAACTTGTGTTTGTTTGTCTGTTGTTTAACGCCGCACTCAACAATATTCCAGCTATATGACGGCCCCTAACTTGTGAAAATATCGATATTGAAACCCAGAACATCCAAATTAACATAAAGATATATTTGAAAATGTGTTATGATAGATCCCATCAAATGGCCTGTGCCCACTTTTAGGTTTCACCTGGTTGACTCTGATCATTCCTGTGAACTGATCTGATTACCCCTGATTGGTTGGTTGATGCACGGTCATCGATCCCAATTGCGTGGATCTATGTTCATGATGTAAATCACTGGATTGTCTGGTCCAGACTCGATTATTTACAGACCGCCGTCATATAGCTAGAATATTGCTTGGTGCGGCGTTAAACAACAAACCTAACCCAACTTGGAGGTTCATTCTATCCAACAAATTGTATACACCGAGCTATACCGTGTGGATGCCCCTTGGGAAGTACTTCCACGAAACTATAAAATACTTGTCCTGTGAGAACATGTCCTGTGTCATAAAACTAACGTCCAACAGGTTGCAAACATTAAACGTTAGCACGGCTTGCAAGTTCGTAGGATGCACTGTGTTGCATGCAATATATTGTATACAACCAGTTGTACCGTGTGAATGTCCTTAAGGAATACTCCAACGAAACTCTAAAATACTTGCAGCATGCAGCGACGCCTGTTCTGTCCACAGTACATCTGTCCTGTACACCGCACGTCACTGCACTGCAGGGTCCAGCCAAGCTCTGATGAAATGAAAACAGACAATGAGTTAGTTTGGATTAACGCCGCTTTTAACAGAATTCCAGTTATATCGCGGCGTGTCGGCTTAATGTTGGAGAAAAGCCCGTAGTGATGCAGGTCTCAGACGTTTACCACTGAAACCCACGAGCACGTGTATGGAAAACGAACATGTAAATACCAATATTTGGTTTAAGTGACATATAAAATCATGCCATATATAAGGCCATTATGTCATGAGGGCTGGTCAAAAGTTCTAAGCCTTACTGTCAACTATGGCCCACAACAAAGTGAACTAGTCAATGTAGTACATTGTTTCAGTAGGTCATTGCAAGTGTATTTGGTCTGTACCTATATACCTATAATATTAGAAAAAAGTATATTGAATTTAGTAAATACATCAGAAATGACAGTGCAGTAAACATATTCATAAATATTATGAACACTCAAAATACACAAACAATAAGTGATCTCTGTTTATACCTATTCAATGTGCAAGAAATATGTTCAATACCTATTTTGCAAGAATGCTACATACGATATGTATGTAAGTGTATATATATATATATATATATATATATATATATATATATATATATGTATGTATGTATGTATGTATATGTGTGTATGTATGTATGTGTGTATGTGTGTGTGTGTATATGTGTGTATGTATATGTGTGTGTATGTATATGTGTGTGTGTGTATGTATATGTGTGTGTATGTATATGTGTATGTATATGTGTGTGTGTATGTATATGTGTGTATATGTGTGTGTGTATGTATGTATATGTGTGTGTATGTATATGTGTGTGTGTATGTATTTGTGTGTGTGTGTATGTATATGTGTGTGTGTATGTATATGTGTGTGTGTATGTATATATGTGTGTGTGTGTATGTATATGTGTGTGTATGTATATGTGTGATCTTCACGGGTACGGTGGCAAAGTTTCTAAATTCTAATCTTAAGAGAAATAGAACTAACCTTGCTAGAAACAAATAGACTTTACTGTGGAGGGTTTCATACAAAATGGTAGCGCCTTGACAAGACGATCTGATCGATTATCAAGATCTATATTGTAATATAACGGGTCTTACCTCTTGAAGTGCATCAAATTACCGGAGTACTTTGATTAAGAGTATGAAAAGATTTGAAAAATATCTGTCGACGCCCATTTGACAGACGGTACACATTCTTTTCTAATACTGCAGTCGACTCGCTGAAATCCATGTAGTTTACGAATCGGATATCTAGTTCGTTACGCGATTTTGATAGACTATGACTCGTTAGTCTAGCCAAAATATTACTCCAGAATTCTAGCCTAGTTCGGCAAGGGGTGAAACGGGACTTCTATAGTCAGTTAACTTCCTTGCCTCGGGACGATGTCTTTAGAGATGACGATCCCTTTCACATCGGCACACACACTTTAGGCACATGACATCATGAGCATCGATCCACGCAATTGGGATCGATGACATGTATCAACCAAGTCAGTGAGCCTGACCACCCGATCCCGTTAGTCTCCTCTTACGAGAAGCATAGTCGCCTTTTACGGCAGGCATGGGTTGCTGAAACCTTTTCTACCCCGGATCTTCACGGGTCTACCTCTTCATTAACAGCAGAATATTTCTATTCTCTGGCTAAACTTGCAACAATCGCCAGTAACTAGTGGAAAGGTGTTCAGTCCTGTCATCGAACCATGAAGGCAGCAGAGGCGTAAGTGCCCTAGTGTGGTGACCTCACTTGCTGGCGATTTATAGCCCCATTTCATATTGTCTAAAAGTAAATTTGTGATTTATTGCTAGTCAATACTGTTCTTGGATGACTGTGCTTTTAGTAGAGTAACTTTGCATTAATTGTTCTAAATAATCAATATGACTGGAATATTGCCGACATGACTTTATATTTTAAGTCACACATTCGCTTTGCAGTGCGATGCCACACAGTCAAGTGCATAAGCGTGACCATCAGACCCATTAAATCGCCTCTTACGTTTGTTTGTTTGTTGTTCAACGACGCACTCAGCAATATTCGAAGTGTTTATTTCTGTATAATGGGCCTACAGTACAAAAGATCCATACATATTTTATAGAACAAATGTGAAATTTCATCCAATTACAATATGCATGCATGCGTGGAACAAAATGTCATACAAGGATTTGTTTGTTCAGTTTCAGACAATAAGGAAATTAAATTTCTCTTAAGGAACAGAGCAATTGTGTTTTTGTACATGTACATCACTAATTGCCATTAACAATTTAAACTTATCCTCTGAAGGAAATTTATGAAAACATGCTGGAATAAATTGTTGGCGACTATTTCTGTATGCCGGGCATACCAATAAAAAAATGATACTCATCTTCTTTAACTGCCAAATCACATTTTTCACAAAAACTTTCTATAACATTTGAGGAATTAAAATCAATTGGGGATCGTTATTTTTGAATATTCAAGTGGTGAGAAGAGCATCTTAATTTACACATAATCCTAATCAAATCCTTGTGTTCTAAATGTAGAATATAGGATTCGGGAGTTAACAGTGTCTTGAAACTAGAATATCTTTCTAAAACAAGAGAATTTTCTACTTTTCTATGCCAATTTTGAATTCCAATATCCTTACACCGTTGTTTGAACTGCTGCAGAAATGCATCCACATCCCCAGACGATTGCATAATCCAAACATAGGAAAAACCTGTATTCTACCATGAATTTGGAATTTACTCGATTCTGATTGGTCAATCAGAGGCTATTAAATCACAATAAACCCCCTCTGATTGAAACAGCTGGTTTGACGGCCGCATCACCGCGGAAGATAATATTCATAGAATAGTACTATTTTTTAGTCATTGTCGGTAGGCATATTTAAATAACTATATCTACAATTACAGGTTACAAAATGCACGGATGCGGTTACTACAATATTCAAAGGATGTGTGGCAATACATTTCGTGCAGAAAAACACGACAGAAATCAACAAAGGGAGTGTGTTTACGTTTTGGAGACAACAGACAGCTTGAAATTTTGGCGCTTTTCTATATACGACTGTGACGTCATATCTTTTGCGACACAATGAGAGATATGACGTCATAATGGTGACGTGCGATGTAGAGCGAAAGCCATGCAAAGCTTGCTTTGTTTTCTTTAGGGATGCCCACCTCATGTTAGCTTACCAAGTTGCCGTGCTTATATGCTTTCAATGCCTGTCATATGTTCGAGTGAAGTATTACGGTGTTAACAAACTGCCTGAGTATATACAGCACCATATTTAGTTCGGTGATTCCGTAATTCAGATCGATAACCCACTCAAAACACTGAACTCAACCCATGCCGCTTCACTCAGTATATTTGCTAACACCAAAGAGTTCGCGTTTTATTTAGTCATGGTAGATTGGAGATAAACATACTGTGTTTTCAATGTAGAGCTAGGTTACCTGTTGATTTAACCGCGCTAAATTTAACATTTGAAACCTCACGCTGCGCGTTCGGTTCCAAATTCAATTTAGCGGGGTTAAATCTACAGGTAACCTAGCTCTACATTGAAAACACAGTATGTTTATCTCCTAATTGAACAAAAGTTCCCGAACGTAACTGACCCAGTTTACTCATCCTAACTCATCATGTGATTTCAACATGGCATAACAAGCCCTGGGATATCTACCACAATCTAAGGTTAAAAGTTTACACCAATATTTAATAAATTTTGTGAAACACTCAACAAATGTATAATTTCTTCCACAGTCTCCGAGAACCGCATTGCTGGAAGAATATTTGGATAAACCTATGAATTTATTTAAAATACCAACTGTTGAACCTTTTCTATTTTATCGTTATATTTAAATCCCCAAATCTCGGAACCATATGTGTAAATCGGTAATATTTTAGTATCGAAAATTCTACATGCAACAGAAAAGGAAATATTTGGAAATTTATAAAATACTCGAATGGCAGAAAAAGCAGCTTTTCTAGCCTGGATCGTCAATGTTTCACATGCCTTTGACCAAACTAAACGAGAAGAGAAAACAATATCTAAATATTTATCATATGTGACAGCCGATAACTGAATTCCTTTATAGAACCATTTTTCACAAGCTCTGAGAGTGCCTCCATTTCTAAACACAACAACATTTAACTTACCTAAATTAACTTCTAACCCCCATTTCTTAGTGAACTTTTCTAAACTATTTAGCCGCTTTTGAAGATTTATAACTGAATCCGCTACCAACACCACATCATCTGCAAATAAAAGGAGTAAAACGTCTTCAATATCCTGATTTACAAATATTCCCTTGTCTGAATCTTCCTTTATGTCATCAGTCAACTGGTTTATAAAAAAATATAAACAATATGGGACTTATCATGCACCCTTGTCGAACACCAGATGTAGTACAAAATGTTTCACTATACTTACTACCGACTTTAACACATGCCTTTACACGGCTATACATACTTTGTAGAACATTATATAATTTACCATGAAATCCATTTAATAATAACCTATATAATAACTTTTCTCTATCAACTAAATCAAATGCCTTTTTGAAATCAATGAAAACTGCATAAAATCTGTGATTTGGTTTACTAAGGTACTTTTGACATCGTAACTGAAAAACAAACATATTATCCTCAGTTGCATATCCCTTTCTAAAACCGGCCTGTGATTCATCAACTTTATCAAATAATTCTACCCATTTCCTAATTCTTGATTCGACAATATTAGTAAAATCTTTCCCGATAACACCTAACAACAATAACATACCTCTAAAGTTGCTTGGGTCTCGACGGCTCCCCTTCGTATACAAGGGAATAATTGCACCAATATTCCAAGTTTCAGGAAAAACTCCACTATCTAAGACTACATTAAATAATAAAACAAAATCTGATACCAATATTTGGGCATTCTAAAGAAACTCAGCCAGAATACCATCTATACCTGGGGCTTTATCAGCTTTTAACTTCTTAATTGAAGTAATTAGCTCCTCTTCCGTAATCCTACTTGATAAAAAATCAATAGATTCATCCCTACACAACTGACAATTTTCAACATTATGACCTACCACATACATTGTAAGTCTTAACTAAATCATCAAATTCTGGATTACCCGACTCACTGTGTGGATTTAATAAAGATTCAAAATACTGAAACCATATATGGGCTGAAATACCACCGCTATCAACGCTATTTGACGATAGCAACTGTCTAATCTTTCTCCAAAAAAGTTTACAATCATGCGACTCCACAGCAGCCTTCACCTCAACTTCTATATTTCTTTTATATTCATTCATTTTCCTTGTACATCAATTTTTAAATGACATGTTTGCATCAGTATACGACTGCAAATTTTCATCAGATCTATATTTTCTAAATGTCTGTAAAGCATCATATTTTAATTTCTTAAGAATCTCACAGTCCTTGTCAAACCACTTCGGTTGCAACATTTTCCTATGGGATGTATCAGGTACAGCGGCATTTACTGTATCACAGGCAACTTGGATGGCCTCAAGAAACTTGTTTGTAGCACTGTCAATAGTGGTAGACAACAACGATCTAAAGTCCCGTAGGAGAATATCCACTTCAGAAGATTTTAATACAGTGTTATATACTTCTTTCAAGTTATCACTCCACTTATATCTAGGTGAGCTGTACAAAGCCAGCTTCGGTAATACATCAGCTGACATAGGTGAGTTCATGGGTTTAAGTTGCAACTGTAATGTACATGTAATAGGTAGATGATCACTCTCGGTCTTTGCTACCACCTCCATATCTACTATACACGAAAAAAAACCAGTGGACGCAAGGAAGTAGTCCACAAGACTTGCTCCATTTCTTCCAATAAATGTAAATGCTCCCTATTTATCTTTTGCAGTTCGTCCATTTACAATGTTGATATTCCAAGTTTTGCACAGTTCCAATAAAGACATGCCAAATTTATTTACCTGTTTATCCCTTGTCTTCATCAAGTATGTGAACATCGCCTTCAATCACAAATTTATCTTACGAGAGATAAGCCGATTTCCCTGAATCCCGTGCTTGGACAAGAAAAGGAATTAAAGCCTTACGCTTAAGTTTGGCAGGGTCGTGTAGTCATCAGAGACTCTCATTTCTTTCACATTCTTTAATATATCCCTTGCTGCACTTACAACCACTTGCTTTTCTTTGTAAAGGCTAAATCACACTATTACAGGCTTGATGGTAGATCTGGTGTTCAGACGATGTGCATGATCTATTTGGATCATATCCGAGTTTTCCAGCATCAATGTGTCCCTGAAAAAGTTTCCTACTAAAGATTCTGTCTCTTGCCAAGACTCCCAGGCTTTACCACGAAGTCCATGAATTAAGATATTTCCCCTTCTGCTCAAGGCTTCAAGTTTATCTTGACTTCCTTCAAGCCGTGAAATCCTGTCTCTTAGTTTTGGATTTTCTTGTCTTAACTCCTTTTGTTCAGATTGTATATTATCACTGAGATTGTCAAACTTGTTATGCAATGCAATCATCTCTGCTTTGATAAGATTTCAAAATCATGTGAACTGATTCATCGCTTTCGCCATCGGGACTACTATCGGCTGACTGACTGAAGGGAAGTTTACTTTGACGAGTTTCTCTCGGGCCAGGATTAAGTTCCACATCGGAACATAATTGCAACAGTTTAGGTACATACGGAGAGTCACTATTACGCAGGCAATGAGGACCATCACAACCAAAATAAAACACCAGTCGTCGCCAGGGTGAAGCGTTAAAGCGAGTTGTCAAGTCGGTGTACGGGGACTCCTTACCAAACTGCGCGGTATAACGAGCGCAGTGAAATCCATTCAGATAGAGCAAGCTATTTACCAGAATGAATATTTGGAGCTGTCTGTTTATTAAACTTCCATATGGTGTCAAATACTTCATTTTGTCCCTATTTTTCTTCCGTTTCTGAATGAAACAGCCAATTTTGACCCTCCACTGTTCAACAGAAACATCCATCTTGCGCGTGCAGTTCGTGCTTCACAATCTAAGTATGGTTCACACTGACACAGTCGTATTACAAAAAGTTCCACACTATTTTCGTCGTTATTTTATCAGAATAAGTGTGTACTCACTGATATTCGATACTTGTGATTACTTTGTTGTTGATTATAACTTGGTGTAGACCTTGTCACAGGCGACTTTTGAAGAGCGACATGATCACGACCGCTTGCTACCCACGCATGCGCAATCCCTAAGCCCTCAGCAATATTCCAGCTATATTACGACGGGTACCCAGGTAGAATAGGTCTTCAGCAACCCATGCTTGTCGTAAAAAGCGACTAACGGGATCGGGTGGTCAGGCTCGCTGACTTGGTTGATGCACGGTCATCGATCCCAATTGCGTGGATCGATGCTCATGATATTTATCACTGGATTGTCTGGTCCAGACTCGATTATTTACAGACCGCCGTCATATAGCTGGAATATTGCTGAGTGCGGCGTTAACAAACCAACCAACCAACCAATATGACGACGGTCGCCTCTTACGACCAGCATTAGCTGCTCGGGGTAAATTCTAACGCTGAATCTCACGGGTCGCATTAATTTAAAAATTATATTGGTGTATTGTGTTGAAAGTTTTGATTTCCTCTAAATTTACCGCTGACGGATCTGGTTTCGTGAAAATTGTGCGAATAAAACGTTTAACATACCAAGATCAGTTATATTACTTTCTTACCTTACTCCAGGTGCTGATGTCACTAGATACATAGCCATCTTCACTGCTCATTGTGGTACTTGATGAGTTGGTGTCCACATAGTTAAGGTAGCAGGCATGGCTGAGGATGTGGTAGCTGAACGATCTACATATCCCATGCATTTGGCAGTTCGCTACACACGAGTTTATGCCAGGTGTAGAAAGAATATGGAAAGATGATCTAATAATTCGCTCGTTGTATAGCAAGTGTCCCTCTTGTTGACATGATGCCCGGCAAATGGAAACCCATGTTGAGAAGTAAAACGCCAGGCTCACAAGAACACCGGGAACCATTCTGCATTAACTGACTTCTGTCGTGGAGGGGTGGGAATAAGTGACAGTAGTTGCACCCGGGGAAACACTATCGACGCCAAACACCTCAGCATGGTTGAATCAATAGCATACGCTACCTGTTCTGTTCTACTTACTGCAGAAACAAATCGATATGCGTCTGCATTATATATCAGCACTGCCGGTGTATCAGATTCAAATCAATCCCTTAACTATTACTAAATAGAGTTTTGAGCCGAGGTTATAAAAGAACCAGGTGGAATTTATCTTTCTTCAGGTGTTTATTAAAAATTCGTTTCCGAAGCAAAGCGACTCGAACTACATCATAAATTAATTCATAGACTAGACTTTGGTACTAAGTGTTTAAACTGTCTTTATGTCATAAAATAACTTACACAATTTTTCAGCGCAACCTTGTGGCTTCATGTGACATAACAATGAACAGTTTTCAATGCCTTTGTACAACGACAACAGGTGAGTATCATATTTATATCTATGATATTAAATAAAGTATATCGACTTTATTAGGTACAATAAATTTACTAAACATCTACTACAGCGTTTCCTTTTTTGAAGACTGTATGAATAGACAGCAGTACTATCCTCTAGTAAGGATTTCGAATTATATTATGCCTCATGAGAATCTATTTATTTCTTGAGTGTATGATGTTTGTTTGCTGTGTATAGCCGCACTAAGCCATATTAGAGCTATATGACGGCGGCCTGTAAATAATCGAGTCTGGACCAAACAATCCAGTGATTGACATGATGAGCATCAATCCACGCAATTGGTGAGTGAGTGAGTGAGTTGGGTTTAACGCCGCTTTTAACAGTATTCCAGTTATATGGCGGCGTGTCAGCTTAATGTGGGAGGAAAGCCCGAAGTGATGCCGGTCTCAGACGTTTACCACTTCGGTGAAACCCACGATCATGACCTCTTTATGACCATTTCTCAAGCATTTTTGTCAAAAATGTTATGACATTTGGTTCATGTCTAGTTCATGTCAGCAGAGGGGCTCAACGCGATATTTTAAACTTAGACCTTTGTTTGACCTTCACACCCTGCTGAAACGAAATACTTCTTGTGACCATGACTTCTAAAACTAAAAAAAATAATCAAGCCCCAACAACGACACTTACATATGTCTCGTTTCATGGGACGACAAAATAATCTTCCCTTTTCTTGCAGACAGTGTGTGAAAGTGTACAGTGTTATAATATATCTTCACCATAGCTTATTTTAAAACTACAAAACAACAAACTGAAACACGAACTAGTCGTCTCTCGTCTCTCATTAAATCCATTTCATCTCTTTTTCTGTACTGTCTCTGCAGCAGTTTGTTGCTTCCACAGGAGACTGTTTTTGCTCCTTTGTGACGTCATCCGTGGCAGCTGGCGAGTGCTTTGGGACATCTTTTGTTCCCTCTGTGTATCACTATAGCATCAGGCTCTTCCATATTTCGTCAAGCGTTTCTGGGTGTTCAGATCCTTTCATTGTCATTAAACCGGCTGTTACCACACCTTGTGAAGTGGTGAAACTACTGGCTGTGTGAATAAATTATGCCAAGTTTGTCTTTTATGTGAGCCATCGATTGCTTCTGTAGCAGGTTAAGGTGGTGCTAAGCTCAAAAGGATGTAGATTCCTGTGTAGAATAGGTCTTCAGCAACCCATGCTTGCCGTAAAAGGTGACTATGCTTGTCGTAAAAGGCGACGTACGGGATCGGGTGGTCAGGCTCGCTGACTTGGTTGATGCATGTCATCGTATCCAAATTGCGTGGATCGATGGTCATGATATCAATCGCTGGATTGTCTGGTCCAGCCTCGACAAACCAACCAACCAACCAATATGACGACGGTCGCCTCTTACGACCAGCATAAGCTGCTCGGGGTCAATTCTAACTCTGAATCTCACGGGTCGCATTAATTTAGTTAATGAATCAGGAGAGAGGTAAGATTGAATGCGGAATGGTAGAACCAGGAATGAGTCCAAAATCAATGTTGAGATGATCAATTTGTCACGTAGGCTTTGGTATTTTTCCGATTACGACACACATAAGTTCATGGTCAGATCAATCGGTTAACGAATCAAAATGAAACATTGTTACATGTGACAAAGAAAGGTCAGACTCGACACTTTAAAAAAGGAGACGTTCAGCACTGGAGAGTGAACGGGCTTTGGCAGCGACTGAAGCTGTCGACACTAGCCCATTCTAAGTCTGTGACGAGTCTGACCTGTCTTGTTTAGGAGTTGTCTTTGATGGACTGGAGCGTTATTAAAAGTATATGAGTATAAACCTGATGTTGAGTTCATTCCTTGTATGTTAGGGCCAGTACATGGATGATGGATGATACAGTTCGGATTTAGAGTCTTTAGACCAATCACTCCTTGACTAAAATGACCAAACGAATTGCAAAGTCACGGATTACCTTGACTAAAACGACACTGAACGACAATAAAATAGGTAATTGTAGTAGAGCTCGGTTAACCCCAAATCGCAGTTACGACAATAGCTGGAAAATTGTTAAGTGCGACGTCAAACAAAACAAACAAACAAACAAACAAATATATCTAGTCTTTTTTCAGAACATTATATTCATAATTAGAGAACGGGTATTTCACAGGACAAAAACACCTCTACTAAGGTCATTCTCTTAAATGGCATGCGCGACCCGTGAAGATCCGGGGGAGAATAGGTCTTGAAGAAGAAGAAGAAGTCTTTATTTGTACCAAGGCCACTGGCCCATATACAATACATACATTTGAAATAGTGTGGTACATGAAAAAAGGTAATGTCAGGCACAAATTTACAGGTTTACAGGCTTTTCATAATTACGTCTTCTTTCATAGCTGTATACAGGTATTTACATAGTTTTCCAAGTAATTGTTTACACGAAGATGACAGTAGCGTTTTAAATTTATGCATATTTGGATTATTGCAAAATGTTGTTGGTAAATACAGATGTCTAATATCGTTGTTGTAATATTCACATTCTAAAGTAAACTGATATTCATTCTCTATACTTGTTTCACATATGGGGCAGAGTCGTAAACGTAAGTCAATATCAGCCCATCTACCTTCGTTTACCTTAAGTCTTAGTAGCCCGGCTCTAAGCCTTATCAAAACATTTCGATATTTTATTTCAGTAATAATGGAAAGGTATTTTTCTGGTTCCAGGAGACTTTTAAATTCTTTATGCAGAATGTACCTAGAACTAGCCTTGATAGTACTATTCCATAGTCTTCTGCAACCCATGCTTGCCGTAAAAGGCGACTATGCGTGAAGTGAAAGGCGACTAACGGGATCGGGTTGTCAGGCTCGCTGACTTGGTTGATGCATGTCATCGATCCAAAGTGCGTGGATCGATGCTCATGATACAATCACTAGATTGTCTGGTCTAGACTCGATTATTACAGACCGCCGTCAAATAGCTGGACTATTGGTGAGTGCGGCGTAAAACAACACACCAACCAACCAATCTAAAAAAAGCCATACTCATACTGAAATGAAATGAAAGTTGCCGTTGCCATCTGACGCCTGTGAGTCAGTCACAAAAACACGACAAACCAACAAGAAACCAACATGGCATGCACACAAGCAATCAGTATGTTCTATACCACAAGCAACAAACACTATGAATAATGGATTGTGGTGGCATCTATTGCTTACTACACAAAGACAACTTTCAGCTCTGTCCCATAAATATCACACTTTAATGTGAACCAAAAGTTGTTGTCTTATCGTGTGTTCGACACGCTCCATAACAGGTTTACTTCACTTAAAGACACGTAAATATTTGATGCTAGAACATTTGCTGAGTGCGTCGTTAAACAAGAAACCAAAAACAAAGAAAAATCTTAAGTTAGCGAATTTATATCCAAAACATGAACTGTACTGGCGCTTAGTCAGCACACAAAGAATTCTACATGGTTTTATTTACCGCATGGTAACAAGTATTATTTTGTAACGTTTTTAGGTATGATTGGACGTTAGCAAGTATCTATTTAGGTGAGGTGAGGTGAAATGGGGTTTAACGTCGCGTCCAAGATCATTGCACTTATATAGCGACGTGCATGCACGTGTATGTGTGTGTGTGTGTGGCTGCTTGTACTAGTCCGGACTGATGCCGATTTATAGTGCTAGCTCACTGAGATACCATGCCGCAGTTTAACATGAATACCCCACTCAGACACAGTATACTGACTCCGAGCCGACCAGTCCTTGTTTTAGTCCCTTAATGCCGAGCGCCAGACAGGGTAGCAACAAGTACCATCTTTTAACGTTTTTTGGTATGACGCGGCCGGGGATCGAACCCTGGACCTTCCGCTCCCCGGGCGGACGCTCTACCACTAGACCACGGAGGCGGTCAGTATCTATTTAGTCACCCAGTCCGACAAACATTGTTTGCTAGGGTCCTATATTCTTTCCAGCAGCCCAGGGGGGAAACAAGAGGGGATATTAAGTGATCAGGATAGACTAACATCCAGTCTCTGAAATGAACATATCGTACAGAAAAAAACAGTTGTTCAATTATCTTAATAAAAATATAATAAAAGGGAGCCCAGAGACTCTCTTCATTTCCTGATACTGCAGTAATCTAGACTTGCTAAACATTATAGACTTGCATGGGCTGTATTTGATATATATTTGTATCAGGGTCTGTAAGACAGACTATGATCAGGAATCAGAGATAAGCCATGAACATACACATAGTCGTCGTGTTTCGTTTGTTGTTTTACGCCGCACACACCGTGTGACAATGGTGCCTTCCCTGAAGACCTGCGTGGTGACTTGAAATGGGGGCGGCGGGGTAGCCTAGTAGTTAAAGGGTTCGCTCGTCAGACCCGGGTGCGATTCCCCACATGGGTACAATGTGTGAATATTGCTGGAATATTGCCAAAAGCGTCGTAAAATCATATTCACTCACAATCACATTGGAACAGACCTTCTGTATAATGATCTCAATTTTGAAATGATTAATTGGTACAAAGGATGAATAATGCACAGCCAGCTTGCACAATAACAAATACATATTAACCATATGGAAACTGGAAACAATTTATTGATTTCACAGAAAGT